TACATACACGCACTGGAGTTTTAAGTCACTCACACAGTCTGTGCTCTCAAGGTCTGTGCATCTGGTTGCTTTTGCTTCTTTTCTTCTTATCAAATCCCAATGCCCATCACAGCAAGCGCAGTTTTGTTTTGTTCAAGTCTTGTCCAAGCCCCTTTCTAACTCTTAAGGAAATTTTATAATGAAGCTCATTGCCAACATAGATTCAGACCTCCTACATCCCCAAATGGACTTCAAATCATTCGCTGAACTTTGACAGCAAGAAAAAGAAACGGAAGTCATATTAGGAGGGGTTTGGACTAGGGATAAAACTAATTTAGCGACCAACAAATTCTGTGCTAATTTTCTTGCATGCTGTCTGAAGCAGATAAAAACTGTATTAGGGACAAAAATATTAATATCATTACTGCTCTATTTGCACAGAGATTATGAAACATCATGGCTAGGTTTGAGTCTCACCCTTCAAAAATTAGACAGACTTCCAAAGAAAGCAATTAAAATTAAAAAACAAACACATGAAAAACAACCAAAAAACCTGTTTACAGTCAGCCAAAGCTGCAATGTTTGGTTCACAAAAAAAGGAAACTACAAATAAAATTTTGAATTATCAATTACCATCATTTGAATCATTGCTCTGTCTCCATCATCTGTTAGTTAAAAAAACAAATAGTTTCATCAGAGGATAAGAAAACATAAAAGATCACCAACTGCAGCATGCCATACTTTATGTTGGAAATTATTGGTAATATATGCTTGAGGTATATCTGCACTTGGAGATATTCCAGTATATTATTCCTAATTAAGTAACCCAAATTAATTCCATGGTAGATGCTATTACTCTGAAAAATATGTCCATATGGTATTACATAAAAATTAGTTATAGTATTTTAAATACGTGCCTTACCCTACTATTTAGGTTGACTTTCAAACACAGACAAGTCTGAATTACTGTGTTCATACTATCTTTATCAAACCTAACTACTTAGCTATACTAAATACTTTTGCTAGAACAAGGTCATATCAAAGTTATCAGAAAATCTGGATGTTCACAAACTCTTGCTAAAAACAAAGTAAAAGAGGAAAGTAGGATAGCTCTGGTCTATGACTTTTCTCATCAGTTGGAATACAATAGTATCTGTTTGCCCTGGGAATTAGATAAAATAAGATCCAATCCCCATGAATACAAACCAGCTATTTCAGGAGAAGTAACTGCAGTTCAGTAGCAAAGGGAGAGCAAACACTTAATTTGAGGGTTGTGTTATTTTTAAATCTACTTTTTTTTTTTTTTCGCTTGCTTGGAGAGTTGCATTTTCCCAGTCAGCACTAACATGCTGACTAACATCGGCCTGTATTTTCCCTCAGCTGTTCTACTGTCTGAAACATTTGTGCCTACTCTGGTAATTCTGTGCTAGCAAGTATCAAACAAGTATTGAATGTGATCCAGTTTATTCACTATGAATTCACTACCTTTGAAAATCAGCATAAACTATACTTTCTAATGATCACAGATATTTTCTGAGCTGAACAACCCCTAGTAATGGCATAATCTCACTGACCAAGGCAGATTTGTTGCCTAACTGAAACCCCATCTCTGGAAGTGTTCAAGGCCAGGTTGGATGGGGCTTTGGTCTACCTGCTCTAGCGGAGGATGTCCCTGGCCATGGCAGGGGGTTAGAACTAGATGGGCTTTAAGGTCCCTTGCAACCCAAACCATTCTGTGATTCTATTAAATTCCCCTCAGCTTTTTCTTAAAACTTTGATTTCCAGTCCAGGAAATTTCAAATAGTGAACAGTGTGTGATTTATATCAGCCTGTATACAAAAAGAAATCCATAGAAAAATGGAATGCAACTACACAAGATGCCTTGTCACAGCTCCTCCTGTTCACTCCCTTCATGGCTATTTGTTCAACAAGTAGGCATGCGTCTGGGTGAAGCACAGGAGAGCCCAACACCAGAGTCTCATCCCAGAAGGCAGGCACAGTGTTGGCATCAGAGGATAAATTTATCTTTATGCTACCTCACTGTGGCTAGAAGGCAAGAAACTGTTTCAGTCTTAGCCTTGCTGGTCTTGGTTTTGGCTTTCAAAGAAGGGAGGTTTGTGCCAGTAGGCCTTCTGACATACACAGCCATGCTCATGCGAGAAAGTGGAAACCACCAGTTTATATTCACAGGCCAAAATCTGATCCTCAGAGCACAACAATTTCAGTTGTCATTGAACTTGAAAAGATTTGAATTATGGTTTAGAAATATTTATTTTGTTCTAATCTTTTGTTTACTACTCCCCTGCAAAACAAATTCTTAAAGAAAAGCAAGATAAACTGGTCGGTTCATAGCTCTTCCAATCCTTGATACAGAACCCCATATTTTCCAAAAGACCTGCCCCCGAATGGTACAGAGGAATGGGAAAATTTAAGTTGAAGAATACCAAAATGCCATTGCATCGATGACGATACTACCTTGTAATTAAAAGTGTGTGTTTCTTTTAGATGTTTTTCTTTTACTCATTTGAGTAAAAGCCCTGAGATTTCAGGAAATTTTGTAGTATTGGCAGGTTCTGCCATTCTAGTATTTTGAAGACCTTTTAAAACAGAATAGAGATTTTAATTTGCAAGTCAAGCTTCTGTCAGTAGATGAAAAGTCTACGGATTATCCAAACTGATAGAAATCTACCACTCATAATTATGTTTTCCAAACAGCTTAGAAATTAAGCAGGTTTGATTAGCAGGGGGGGATTCAGCAACCAAGTCATACTAAAAAGAGAAAAAGAAGAGGCACTGAGGTGCACAAGAAATGATCCCCAAACTGTGCTCCAGAGATGACTGGTGGCCCATATATTGAGATCTGATACAAGAAACCACAGTGACTGCAGAGCTACTTCAAGTTTATCAGGGACACAGAGTAAAATATGAGAAACACTGAGTGCTAACACAGCGATCTTTTGGTCCAAAAAGTTTGGAAAATACTGGGATAAAACTGGTGAAAGATCACTTTCAGATTAGCATAGCAAGGGTACAGATACTGGCCACTCTGGCTGGTTTAAGATGTTTCCAGCATGGAATAAATAGATGAAGGAACCTGGTCGTCAGGCTCTGTACCCATTAATGACTCCCTTCATATGAAGGGTAACCATGACAGGAAATCTGCAGAAGATTAACACTTCATCTTTTAGTAACAGCACAAATGTAGAGATCAGTTCAAAAGTAAGAACCCAGCCACTATTTCCTCTGGTTGAAGTTTCTTGGAAAATAGAAAAGGAATCTCTGGAAGGAATCAAAACAATCTCTGACTTTCAGTCTTGAACACACAGCTAGATAACAATCATGCAACACACCACAGACCAAAAACAAGAAAACATAAATGCTATCAAAATACTTGGTCAGGAATGCACATTTTAAGGTCCCCACATCCCCTGGCCTGTTTACTGTATCGGATGCCATAGGAACTCCCTTTCTGTACACATTGATGTTGCTCACAGTCATCATGCAGATCCACAGACTGAATAGGCACCAAATTCTCTCCACACTAACCCCAAATAAACACACTGGACTTAAACTGAGGCATCACTAGGTTTTCGATTATCTCTACACAACCAGTCCTCTCTGAAGATAAATCAGAGCTGGAGCCATTTACGTGCTTTCCTGACCTAGGCATCCTTGCCCTGTCTTGACCATCATTAATACGGTGGAAGAAATGCTCGTAGCAGTCTCACTCAGCTTCTCCTGCTATGTGCCTAAATTGCGTGCACTTTTGCTTGTTCAAACTGTAAGTGGAGTTGCAGATAGATTGACTGGACTGATAAACTGGCTGTATAGACATAAATCCCAGTAGCTAGGTCCATAAGGAATGGTGCGTGCATGTCTGCTGTGAGATGGGTTTGTGCACAGCTGCACAGACAACAGAATGGTTCCACCTGTAGGAAAGACATATTTTGAAAATAGAGAAAAGAAATAATTTAAACATTTATCAGATGAAACAAACACTTTTAAATGGAACAAGAGATCAGTACTGAGCTAACCAGCTTGTACCTATGAAAACCCTTATTCTTGCTGAATGTATGGACACAGCGCTGCAATAGCTTTACATGACATACAGTTGATTCATGTCGTCAGCCTGTGACTGAGAGCACCAGCTCACCATAGAATTCTTAGTCTCTTCCACAACTCAGGAAGGGACCTTTCTTTCAAAATATGAGGCAAATTCTTCTTATATTTTTAAATAATTAATTTTCTTTCAGTAAATGTAATGTTACTCTGATTGAGAAAGAGACTGACATCACTGTATGATGGCTGTTAGCCACAGAGTAGCTACAAGGCCATGAGTGATACAAGCTTTCCCAGAAACTTCTTCCTCCTTCTCCCTTCTCCTTGTCCCCATCAGGCATGTGACCCAGCCCTGGCCAGGAGGGATGAGAGGCAAGTTAGCTCTTTTTAGGTCTTTGATTCTTTAGCTCCTAGGTAAGAACACTAGCAAGGGGGCCAATTAGTGCCAAGTGCAGTAGTCATTTCTGCAATGACACCCGTCCTTTGGGAACTCATCTGAGACGACCAGTTTTCAAACAAGCCGCCAAACAGCTGTCAGATAATACTGGATTTTGATCATTACTGACCTGAACACACTCAAACTACAGACCTCATGATGAAAGATGTATCCCATTTCCAGTCCCCAGAGCCATCCAGCCCCTCAGAACACTGGGACAATTCTATCTGAACACAGCTTTTCAGGAAGTGGCTAAAATAGCACTCTTAAGCTTTAGTAAACATCTGAAGAGAACTGAAGTCAAAAGGCATTATTCTGGTTTATCCACACCATTACAAGATTTAGCAGCCTGTCAGCATCAGCCAGCTTTTTGGCTGTACCCATAAAAAGCCATTTTCTTCAGAGAGGATCCAACTTTTAGTGCAAACTAGGAAGGTAGCAGTGACAACAGAAGTCCAAGCTAAAAAATTGCAGAATCACATCAAGAATAAAACAGCCATCTGGAGAAATACTTTGTTTGGTTTACCTTAAGCAGAAGTGGATATTTGCAAATTCTCTGAATTGGAGTCAGTAGATAACCCTCTAGTGGAATGTCTGTCGTCTTTCTGCCTCCCAAAAGCATGCAACCCTATAATCAAAAAAGGAAACAAATGGTACCTCAGACACAAAGCTTTCAGATGATCTTTGACATGATTTTGTAGTCCTACAACACGTATTACAGTCAGAAAGCACTTTGCCACACCTTAAGATACAGGAAATGGGATTTCATTCACCACTGAAATACAGCCATCAAGCCTGCAAAGTTCTTTGTGCATCAGCAAAACAGAGTTTGCTGTGGATAACAGTGGCTGTGTAGAAAGGTATCTTCCCAGAGAAATATTACGCAGCTGGTGACTCAAAAAATATCATAACAATATGATGACAATCAGCAAACCTAGATGCACCAAAAGAATCCAACCTACCCTCACAATTGATATGACCATTTGTCTTTGTTCATCATGCAAAGTTTTCACTGCTGGTCCAGAAAACTCTTGAAGGCTAAAATAAAGCCTACTAACTAGTAATCATGTAATTAACTCTAGTTCAATCCTTATGTCTGAAGGAAATTGAAGTGGAATTGAAATAAATGAGTCATCTGCATCACATCCACCAATTCTCTGGCAAAACATTATGTCTAAGCACAGCTGGACAAACAGCATGGGCGCACTGGCCGGCTAACCAGCACACATGTAGCTCTCAACCAGTCACAGCCAACGTTGCTGCTTGCCCAGCAAAAAAGGCTATGGGACATGCAGGCAGGGCTACCTTCCAGGTAGGAGGTGCAAGAGGCAGTGAAATTTAAGGAAAACGGGTTTCATTACTTTGGGTGGTCATTTTGAAAAAAAAAACAAAGAACAACAAAAAAAGGATTTCAGGATTAATTTTGTGAAGCTCTGCGACTTCCAAACAGAAAGATGAAGGGCATTTCTCTACCTAGAAATCCAAGTCCAAATAGATTTTAGGTTGAGGAACAGAAGCAGCAACTGATCAACCCTTGCAATACTCACACAATGAGCTCACACGAATTTGGAGGGGCTCTGCATTCCAGAAGAACCATTTCATGGATAAATTTGTGCACGCTGCCTCAAAATAAATGATGTTCAACTTCTCAGTATATTATGGAAATTCATTTCTCAGGATTGACATGGAAGAGCAGTATAAGACTTGGGTAGGCATAAAAAAATAAAATAATTCTACAGTCCTTGACTTGTCTTTATTTTATCACAATAATCTGTAATCTCTGTGTGATAAAAAATACTGACCTACTGTAAGCTTTTTATATGTTTCCCTGAAGATTCTGCCATTGGCTACTACCAGAGACAGGTAGTGAACTCCAATGGACTTCAAATCTATTTCAGATAAACTAGTCTACATTCCTATGTTCGACCATGAATCTGGACAACTTTGCTCCAAAAATCACCCCAGTTGCAAACCTGTCCTGTCAACAGAAGCTGAAGTTTAAACTCAGTTCAGCCAAGACATGCTTGCTTTGGGGCATCGCTGATAACATTTTCCCCTGTGAAATGTGTGCTGTGGTGGCTCAGACGCGCTCTGAAATTTAGTGGGTTTTTGGCTGTAGTTCAACAGTCCTCCTCTTCAAGGAATGTTCACAGATATACATAAATCTCATTAGTCCTAACTGGTATTTTTACAGACAATCGTCTGTAAAATAACCTTTCCCCAGGCTATTCTAGATCTGTGACGTTGGCTACCAGCTCACAATGCTCCCTGTCCAATTTTCCAAGTCTCAAGTGATTCAGTCCTTCCCGTCTCTTCTTTCAGCCCTCTCTCTAGCTCTGGGCTCAAAACTGCCCTTTAACACTCACTGATTTTTCAAACACATTCCCACATTCTATATTTCAGCAGCTGTGAGGGGGCAATTGGGCCAAATCTATCCTCACAAGCAAAGCTTTGTATTTTTATGCAGCTTTCTCTGCACAGTGGCATTATAGCACTGGCTTTAGGAGGCAGGAAAGAAGGGAGGCCTGGAAGAAATGACAGCAGTCATAGCAAAGCAGACACTTCAGTGTAGCCTCTCCTTTCATATTTACTGCTATTTTAAGACTCTCTTGAATTCAGGTGCTGCAGCAACCCCCAGCAGACAGTGTGACATCTTTTATGTGCCTTGTAATCAGTTTGCCAGCTGCTGCCAGTAGCACAGGCAGGAGGCTTTTGCCAATCCAGTGGAAGCAGGAGAACACTCTGAGTGTTGGGAAGGATACTTTTTACATGCACTTTTGTCTCTCCTCTCTCTCATTAGTTTTCCTCACCAGAAGCACCCAGAGGAACACAAGAACAGGGGAAGGGGTCATTTGGTGACTCAAACTAATGGTTTAACAAAGTTCATTAAAACTCAGACATGAGAAAGAGATTCTAACTACCCAATAGCAGGAGTGCTTGTCCCTGCTGCTCCCTCCGAGGCCTATATTTTGTGGCTAAAAGAATGCTCTGGCCCTGCTTGTGACAGACATTTATGCAGAAGTTTTCTTTTGCTGTACTATATTGGGAAAGAGAGCAGACCTTTGGCAAAAAGGAAAGAAGAAGAGCAGAAAGAAGAGCATGTGCCTTGCAAAAAGCCAGCCTTTCTTTTACCTCATAGCATTTACTAAGGAAAAAAGCTAATGTGCTGAATTAGTGCCTCACCTACATGCCAACCCCATTCCAAATGCCATGCATCCATGGCCAGGAAAACAAGACACTCAAAAAATCAAGCAGAATTGGGGTGAAGGATAAGAGGAGAAACATCCAAGAAAAGAAAGAAAAATAAGGAATGTTGGGCAGAAGGCACTGTCTACTGGTTGTTTCTCCTCCCAGCCCAGCCTCTATAGAGGCATTTGAAGGCTGTATGACACAGTCCCTCCCAACATAGACACTAATACATCATGGGTTGGATGGGGAGTTGGGTTATTTTTGATACAAGCAGCAATGACGCAGTCAAAACAATTCACCCAGACTACATTTCTTGCCCACAACTGGACTCATGGGGAAAAGGGTGTCAGAAGCAGACCACATTTTTTCTGGTGGGTCTGCAGATTGTGAATTGGTCAGAGAACTGAGCCGGGAATCAGATCCACTGGGAACTAGTCACAGCCCTGCTGATTACTCCTTTCACAATCTGCTCAAATTTTCTGTTGCTTCTTTTAAAAAAAATTTTTTTTTTTTAAATCTTCTCTGTTTCTACCGAAATCACTCATACCAGAGCTGCACTTAGTTCTATGCCTGAACTCATCAGTGATTTCAATACCTATCCATCCTGAGTGCTGCATACCTGGAACGGGTAATATCTGCAAAATGCCTGGCGTTCCTGGGATACCAAAGAGTTATTATGAGCACAGTGCAAAGTCAGATCATTAAGTGAAGAGTGCTAGAGAAGGTGCTTACCAGGAGGAATGTTCTCACTGTTGGGATCTTGTTCAATTCCATCAGCAGTCTGAGTGCTTTCTCGTGGTTGCTACAGTACTCCTCGTAGACAAAGAATTTGTCTTTCTGCAAGGAAAAACATAGTAATTTATTGACTCAGACAAAACTGGAGTGACTATTTCGTAACAGTCTGATATCAAGCTCTTTACAAAGGGGTATGCACTCAGAGTGGCATTAGGGTTGCAGTTTACATGAAGCGTGTGATACTCCTCTAATATGAATAATGCATAGAAGTGTTCCACTAATTCCTAACTTACTCTGTTGTAAGTTAACATCAGTTTTCTGAGCACAGTGACTTCCAGCACTTTTCCTCTTAACGCATCACTGAAATAATATATTCTTTGCTGAAAAAGTGGATTTTGCTATCTCAGGGATACTTGCATACATGCCAGGATATTCCAGTGGAGTAGCCAGAGGAGTAAAGCCAGGAACAAGGGGCCTCACATTTCTGAGCTGCGCTGAGCACCCCAGCAGGAGGAAGAAACAGAGGTGGCTGGGAAAAACCAAGGCCTGAAGAAGCTCAGCAATTTGGAGGGGAACTATAACACAAAGCAACCAGCTGGAAATCCCCTGCCTTTCAGGGCTGAGGAGAAACCCCCTGTGAGTTGGGCTGCTTCACTCTGTGTTCTGAAACAAGCAGCAGACTTCACTATTTCAATGCAACACTAACCAGTGGGTCAGTTGTCCAGATCAAGTTCCCTAAATGGAAGAATTTCATCACATACACACAAAATAACCAACACAGAGAAATTAAAGGAAGGGAAAGGTAGCTTCACAACTAGATTGACATACTTACACTGGAACATGTCACACCCACCAGCACATGCAGTGGAATGAAATCCCCTGTTAAGAAACAAGGGTCAGCTGGCAGCATCAAGTTCTCCTTCACTGATCTCCACAATCAAAGACAGTGCAACTTCTTCTTACTAAAACGATCAGACATGCTGAACCCATTGCAAACATGACATATCTGGAAACACCAAAATGATTCACAAAAGCAGCAGTAATAACTATTGCCATGCCTGAGCAGATCAGGCAAGGAGGGGGGTTGATCCTTTCAAGGCTGTTGGAATGGCTGAACTTTCAGCAGCTACGTTACAAGATTCCAGTATTGCGTTCACTGGAATAAAAGGAGGGTCAAGACACTGTATGAGGCTTCAGTCAGGTAAAACGATTCAGAAGCCAAAAAGACCCATCATTTTTTTTGTGCTTCTCACAATACTAGTTTCTTTCCTGGTTCAGGTCAGCTTCTATGCCACAATGCAGTGCCATGCAGAGGTACTCAGACAAGCTACTTGGCATAGCAGAAGTAATTTAGATGCATTAGCATGGCACTCTGCCAGGGGTAATATGCAAGGCTTCCAGAGCTGGCATCTCAGGGTACCATGCCATTTAGACAATGCCCTCCAGAGTTTGTTGTGGCATTCACATCATTAATTTTCTATTTAGGATCCTGGCCTGAAAACATTCCATGAGAACCTTTTCATCTCTCCAGAACTAGGAAGTTTTTGGGGTTTTTTTTTGAGTTTGGATTGGACTCCTAGCATTCTTCAGAGATGTAGAGCTCCCTGTGTTAGCTGAAGATATCTGCAGCATCTAACTACTTTTAAGACAGCTCATAGTGATCCAAACAACTACTGCCAAGTGAAGGAGTTAAGTAACATGAATCCATGGGAATACAGCTGCACTCACTGAGCATTCCCTTCACTATTGTCACATAGAAAAGAAATTGTGTTAATTTTAGTTTAGGAAAATTTGACATTCTGGTCAGGTGCTCAATGGCTTGATGTACATGCTCAGAGACTGTAAAATGCTTTTGGGCTTGGTTTATCACTAATCTGATGATTTTTTTTTCCCCCTCCTTGTACTTCCCAAAGGAAGAATTGAGAATAAATAGATGTATGTCCAAATGCAACAACAATGGTACAAAGCAAATAAAACAACAGCCACAAAGAGTATGGTGCAAAAAGCTGGAATGCAGATGTTCAAGACTTTTATCCTCCATCTACAGCTGCTAATATGAATACTGGAGTTTAATACCAGGAAGCTGAAAAGAAACAAAGGCTTCTGACCACCAGATGCAGGAAAAGGCAGGGCTTGGGTCCATAGCACAATGGAAAAGAGGCAATTGAGAGGCACGGGATTGTTTTCAACCATAAAAACTGGAGAGTTACAGAATGAGAAGACAGATATCTGAGTTTCTCCGACATTTCCTCTCTCACCTCTCCTCAACTCCCTGGTGCACACAAGCAGCATGCTTGAAACTAAAAATAGTAACTATTAACACAACAGCATCCGTTACATCAATGCACACAAAATGTCATTGCTCAGGTTTCTGACTGCAGCTTTGAGTGCCTGGAGTTCTAGGGGTTATATTTAGATCATGACAAAATCCCTTTGCTAAAGCTCAAGTCGGTACAATAATTATACACACACCAGAGTGCTTTCATCAAGTCTTTTCCAGCTGTCCTTCATACACGAGACCCACAAATATGAGAACTATGCTTTAAATTACTCAGTGTCTGAAGTGTTTAATTTCCTCTCTGGGTGACATTCAGTCCTGGACTCTCCCATCTCTTGGTGAGGAAATTATCAGTTACATAATTACAGATGTTAGCCCAGGAATTCTGAACCTGCAGTTACTCTATATTAAAGTGCAATTATGGTCAGAGATGTGACCACAAAAAAATGGCACCTTCTTACTCAGCAAGTCTGCTGGATACACAGCTAGACCTTCTGATTTTGGTGACAGAAATAAGTCTATACTGTTCTGATGTTTAGTTAAAATAAATCTTTTAAAATAAATCTTTGGAGTTTATTCTCCAAATATGTTATTTTGGGTCCATCAGAACTGCCCACAGATTAGTGCAAATTTGAAAATAATTTTGACTAGAAAAAGCAAATAAGACATTTTAAAAAACTAATAATTTTATTTGGACATATTTTTAACAAGGCAAGGCATTGTCTCATTCCAAAGCAGGCTGAAGCCAATTTTGTCAACATGAAAAAACTAAACAAAACAGAAGATATAATTCTCAGCAAAACAAGATCCCTGATGCCTTAGACAGTAAAACTGATCACTCATGCAACATTGCTCCTAAAAATGAGAAGAAAACATGTTTCCCTTGAACAAGTTCCTAGCTATTACATCACCAAACCTCTAGCAATATGGCAATATCAGAAATGAAGCATCTGTCAATTGTCTGCCCTTCTGCTCTGCAGACAGTCATACATTTTCATGACCTGCACAAAAGAGCCTATACTGATGAGGTATGATCATTCCAAGTTGGGTGTATACGCTCCTTTTGATGTCAAAGATTGTTCTGCACGCCAGAAGAGGCTGTGGATTGGATTTTGAATGAATGTTTAAGTATGTTCTTTACTGTCTGTTATTGTCATACTGAACTACAACTCCAGAATAAATTCCAGCACCTAGCATCAGACAATGAACTTACCACCACCATCTGATCAAATGGAGCACACTAGGGCAAACAATGTCTGTCTTCTGAAGTAAAACAGCAATCTGCTTGCTTGTTTCAGTGTTACTCAAGATCATGAATCCTTCTGAGCTGGAGATCCAGGCGAGAATGTCCTAGCATTACTATAAATGAATCAACTCTGATCCTGGAGGCTTATAAGAACTAAAAGTAGTGGCCTCTTTCTGAAGATCAGTGGACTGTTGTTGAGTGAGGCTCTTCTAGGCCAAGGTAAACCAGGAAAAGAGTCAAGGCCTATGTAGATTAGAGGCAATTTAGGATACACAGATCTCATGAACAGGACCCAAACACTGCAGTCTGGTGGAACTCCACATGGGGAATCTGGGGATCCCTATCAAAGATATATGATACAAGGAAATGTACAGAAAACATGCACCACTAAGAAATGCAGTGTCTGGGGAAAAAAAAAGTGCTTCAAGAATTCTCAAGCTATTCACCAAATTTATGAGCACTTTTAACATTGAGTTTCTGAAGAAAAGCACCTGTGCTAACATCTGGCTGCTGACAAGGACTGGGTTCATAATCAGGACTAAGAATGACCTCGCCAGGTGATCATGATAGAAGATACACTGATACATCCAAGATTCACAGGCCTTATGTCACTTCCTCACTGCAAACTCCCCTGAGGATACACCATCATTTGATGAGAATGAAAAAGCAAGACAGAGTGTTCTTCCTAGCACTTCTAAGCACATTGTAACAACAAGAGAACCTTACTGAAAACAAAAGATCAAAGTAGTATGTTACCCATGTTTTCCCCAGGTAAACTGGCTAACAATGTGCACTCTGAAAAAAGCTCTTCAGCCATGTTTGCAGGAGTGCATCACTGCAAGAGAACAGCTGGCGGCTTCTCTAGGAAACCGCAAGTGTGCTGCAAGGGCTTCTTGGGTGGCAAAATATCGTACATCATTTAAAAAACCCCAACTGGTTTCAGCACCATGGAAACACCTTCAGGAGTTTCTGAGCCACGGCAGGCGGGGGGGGGGGGTGTTATGAATGCCTCTGCTTCATCAGAACAGCCCCAATTAGGGAAACTCACTATGGAAGCCTTCACTGTGACAGGGCACAAACCCCATCTCCTTCGCTCCCAAATACCCACTGTGAAGCTTGTCTTCTAAAAACCTAGGCACAACCTGCATGCAAGGACAGATTATTTCCTCCTCTCTTGATAATCTTCTTTTGACTGTTCTTACTCAGACTTGAGGTACTAC